ACTGCCGCTCGACCTGACCGGAGAAAACCGTAGCAGGAAGCTAGCGAAGTTGTAGTATATATCGTCAAATAGAACTGCCCGGTAAACCGTAGGCATATATATATATATATATATATATATATATTTTTCCTATATAAATTTCAAGTTTTCCATTAAAAAAAACAAAAAAAAACAAAAAAAAAGAGATCAGCAAATTGCACCACATCGTCAATGTACGACACATGGAAAACGAGGTGAGTCCTTCGGGACATCCATAAAAACTGGAACGATACAGAGAATGAAGATTGTCATGGCCCCTGCACAAGGATGACTCCCATAAATCAAAAAATTGTCCAAACTCTTTAAAAACGAGGTGATGGAGTGGGAGAAGAGAGAGAGAGGTGGATGGACGTTGGCTCGTCCAGTTGGCAATGCGCATTTTGGTATGAGGTTGCAGGTTCAAAACTCCACTGCCTTGCGCACGTACACCGGCAGCGCTTTCATAAACACAGCCATTCACATCCCCCCCTTGGGACAACATATGGCAAGATTTACAGACACTGCCTGCGCACCGCCCAAGGGGTGTTTAGGTCCATGGTTGTAGTATGCTGGACTGCGCCATGGGAAGGCTGCTTGAGTGCTTGGTCTGGGTCTGATGATCAGCGCCTTATCTTGTCTCCACCATGGGCAGGGGGGAATAGGCTAGGGTAGACTCACCGAGATCATCGAGGATAATATAACAATAGAGCCGCTGATAGGGCGGGCCCTTGGCCCTTTACACGTCAGTAGAAACTGCCGAACCCGTCGATATCCCTGTGTACCGACTTGGACCCTCCAATCTGTCTGTCTCGTCAATCTGTACTAGTCTGTGGAGGTAGCATAGTGAGCCTGGGTGCTATGTGATCGCAATGAGCACCATGAGCGCTCGAGCGCTTGTTTAAACGCGCACTCAAACCCCCTGGGCACGCTCACAAAAAATGTGCGCGCGCTCATGGGAACCCCCCCATGACAAAAAACAAAAAGAAGATATATTTTTTTCTTTTGGGGGGGGAATAGGGGGTGAGGGAGGTTAAGACGAGAAGCAAAAAAAAAAAAGAATTGATTGATTATAGATTGGTT